TTGTTGAACAAAACGAGACTTGAGCCTAAACTGTCCCCCGCATCCCCTTCCAGGCCGAGGAGATGGTGGACATGGTGCGGAACGCCTTCAAGAGGAACCTGAAGCGGCTCGACTGGATGGACGAGGAGACGAGGGTCGCCGCCATGCAGAAGGCGGACGCCATCACGAAGATGATCGGGTACCCGGACTACATCCTCGTCGCCACCGAGCTCGACAAAAAGTACGAGGACCTCAAGTTCAAAGAGGACGAGTACTTCAATAACAACGTCGAGCTGAGCCGGTTCAACTTACGAGCGAACCTCAAGAAGCTCGATGAGCCCGTCAACAAGACCAGGTTTGCGTCTTTTTTTTTTTTTTTTTTTTTTTTTTTTGCACCCCGCCTCGCGCGCTTACAGAGCCAAAGCCCCGCACCGAGCGAGCTACGTGAACTTGACTCCACGTTTGCCAGGAGAGGAGGAGGGGGGCAGGGGGGTGCATTTGGCTCTTGCAACTCGTGCGGGGCTCTAACCATGCTCTAGTAACGTACTTGATGATAAACGTGTTTGGCCGCCAGGTGGAGTATGACGCCGCCAACGGTCAACGCCTTCTACACGCCCACCAAGAACCAGATCGCCATCCCGTACGGCATTCTACAGCCGCCCTTCTACGACACCCGGACGCAGAACGCGCTGAACTACGGCGCCATGGGGGTCATCATGGGGCACGAGCTGACGCACGCCTTTGACGACCAGGGTCGCGAGTACGATGCCACCGGCAACCTGCACAACTGGTGGAACAACCAGACGATCGACCGTTTCAAGAATCGGACCACTTGTTTGGTCAACCAGTACTCAGCATTCAACGTCAACAAAAAGGCCGTCAACGGCAACCTCACACTGGGTACGTCAAGGTCACCACTATGCCTGTCCCTGCACACCTACTTCGCGGTCGATCACCACCTCTCACCCCTGTCTGTCCCCCGCAGGTGAGAACATAGCAGACAATGGCGGACTGAAGGCGGCCTTCCACGCGTACGAGACCTGGGCCGTGCAGAACCCCGGCGAGCAGTCCCTGCCCGGCCTTAATCTCTCCCAGAAGCAGCTCTTCTTCGTGGCCTTTGCTCAGGTAGGGAGAGAGGAGCAGCGTATCGCACCGGTAGTGACAACTAACTCGTAGTGATCGTATTATTTCAAATGTGTGGTTGTTGCGCAGGTGTGGTGCTCGGCCAGTACGCAGGAGGCGGCCAAGCTGCAACTAGAGAAAGACCCGCACGCCCCGTCCAAACACCGCGTCCTGGGCCCGCTATCCAATATGGACGAGTTCTCCAAGGTTTGGCAGTGCAAGCCGGGCTCCGCCATGAACCCCGTGAACAAGTGCGAGGTGTGGTGATTCTCCCGCCGTGACGTCAGATGAAACCCCAAGCCTCGCCGCGAGCTTCAGATGTCGCCGTTGAGATGGAGCTCGCTGGTCGAAGCTGCTGCCACGACAGCAGAACGTTCAGCGCGCATTGGATGAGATACGTGAGGGAGTGACCGAGGGCGAGCGAGCCACGGACAGAGCAGAACGGCTGCGGTGTATCTCTAGTCATTTACGGTATGTTACTCGGAGAAATGACTGTGACTGCGGCAGTGACCGCGGTATTGGCGGTGACACCGGAGCCCCAGTCCAGCATACCATTGAACATTTTAGCACAGTGCGAGTTTGAAAAGTAAATCGACCTTAAATTTTTATTGGCATTTGAAAAATGCTCCGAGGGACAAATACCTGTCAAACCGACGTCGGATTTCTAAAGACCAATATGGTTTTCGCATTTCGCACCGGCTCCGCCTCCTTCGTACTTTAAAGCAGAGATGAGCTGCTTTTACATCCAACTGCCTGGAAGTCGTAGAAAACGTTTTGCACAAAAGGATGTGGATGGACAAAAGATAAATCGTTTTTCATTTATAGAGCATATCTTTCTACGAAAATTATGTGTGATATACTTTATAATTGCTTAATGTACAAACTAATTTTAATGTGTACGCTACCAGCAAGTACAGTATTTTTTGGTAAGATAAATTCTAGGAAAATATTCAGTCTTCAAAATAGTATGTACCAGTTGGTGTCGATTTTATAACATAGGTTGGTTTGGAGAAGAAAAAGAGGAAAAAGTAGAAGTGACGAATCAGCCGTTGGGCTAGTCTTGTTTTGTACCTATATGTATCTTTGAGATAACAAGAGGCGTCTTTTGGACCTATTTTATCTATTTTTATTAGATTCGAAATTACATGATTATTCCACTAAGAGAATCTATATTAAGATGTTGTCATGATGTTATGGAACGTCTGTTACCATTATTGTTTCATAATTTTCGTTGCAGGATAACCAAATTTAGACTTCAAAATCCGACGAAAGTCGTTATCCCGCCTATGTGCCAATAGTATTATCTACTTTAAGTTTCATCCCTTTGTAATATTTAAATTATAGCTATTCGATTGCTTGTAGCCATATATCGTTTTGCGGACTGTGATTTGACTTTAGTTATGTGTCGATGCAATGTGGTGCTGTAGTCGTGGAATAGGTAACGCAAAAGATTTTGATGTACGTAAAATGGTCTAGAAGAGATATCTATTTTTGTTTTTTTGGAAACAAAGTCTTAGCTGCGGCCATATTTGCGGTTTAAGGGCTCTGTAGAGCTGGCCGTGCCGACGTGCAGACCGAGGCCGGAGCGATCCGACACATTCCCTACACCTTATTGTGATGGCATTCGGAACAGACACATATCGATGACCTTATGGCCATTTCGCCTAAACCTCTGGGACCACCGAAGGTACACGAAACGAGTAATCTAAAGTGAGGACTTTTTTCGGCCCACTAGCATTTCACAGAATGGAGTACATTTAGAAACGAGTTACCGACGCGACTTTTTCCTGTGATTTAATACCCTAGATCCTTGCTTTACATACTGCCAACGCGTTGGACGTATGCTTAGGTTGTCACATGCTTTACGATTCAGTGTTACTTCGTATTTGATATTCTTTCAATCAGTCAATCGTATTATTGTATAAGTGCCTTGTGTAATAACTTCGTTCAGATCATCAAGAATACCAATTTAAACTTCCTGTCTTTCGTTATTTTTGTATGAATCAAAGTCGTATACAACTACTTTTAAATGTAAAAACAACTAGTTCACCTTTCCTTATTTTCTCTTAAACAAAATCGAGCGATAACTTGTGAATTCCATAGTTACATGATGCCAAAGATAATGTTCCTTTCGTATTTGATTTATTCGTATAAGAAATAAACGAATTCCAGTGATAATCAACATGCTTTCGTTTTGCATCCCTCATTGTACTACCGGAGGCGCCCGCGTAGCAACAATGGCAGCTTTCAATGTCCTGGCAACAATACCCGGGTTTCACCACGTTCCTCACCTCTACACCCCCCACCCTTTCACGCCTTTCACTCCCTGCACGACCTACGCGGGGCTGGCTAGCTGGGCGTGGCGTGGCGGGCCGAGCGGCTGCCCGACGGGGTCATGGAGGGGGGCCCGGGGCCAGGGGACGCGGCGAGCGGCGCCAGCGCTGGTGGGACAGGACTCGCCCAGGGCGCGCACTTGTTGTAGTAGTCCAGCCCGTTGCGCACGGACGCACCTCGTGTTGCCTAACCTGCCGTCCGCAGGCGCTCAGAGGCGCAGCCGGGCGGGGTGGGGTTGAGCGGAGCGGGGGTAAAGTCCCGCGAGGACACCGTTAATGACGATACTGGTGCAGATGCCGCCCCGGCCATGACGAAGGAGGAGGCCGCGCCGGTGGCAGTGACGCGGAGCGCCAGCCGGATACCGCTGCCCACCGGGGAGCACGGGGCACGCAGCGTGAGTCCCCCGACAGCGGTCGCGGCCCCAGACTCAGGCTGCTCAGCTGCTCAGCTGCTCAGGCACTCCGTGACACCTGCCGTGGCCACAGGCCACCCACCTGGTGTCGCTGCTGGCCGGGCCGGGGCCGCCTGCGCAGCCCGCGCCCGTGCTGATGACCCCCGGGGGGCTGGCCGCGCTAGCCGAGGGCGGCTCCAGCCTCGCCTCACCCGCCACAGCCTCCCCCGCCCGCCGCCCAAGCGACCTGCTGCTGGACCAGCGCGACCACGCGCCGCTCGACATCAGGGACTCGGGTGACTGCGCTCAGATGGGACCTCCTGCCGTGCAGGGCGCCCCGGGGCTGCGCGCACAAGGTGCCGTCACAGGCCTGCGCTCACGTCCCTCGGGGCCTGTCTGACGCTCTGGCTCGGCGTGCAGGAGATGCGGCCGGGTCCACGGCAGCCGTGCCCCAGCAGCCGGTTCCCTCTGCGCCGCAGGCCATCCCCGCTCAGCCGCCCACGCCCACGCCCGCCCCACACGCACTCCTTGTACAAGTGCGTCCCGTCCCCTATCAACACGGGTGCAGGTCACAATGAACAGTGGAAATTAATGTGCATGTGAACACCACCAAGGCCGTCTGTAGCCGAAGCCGACTAGCACCAGTAGCTGTACCCTCCGGCGACCTTTCAAAGACGGTAGGCAATGCCCCTCACCCTCTTCTAGTATTCAAATGATTCAAATAGTGCCCCCACCTCCACCCCTACCCCTCCGTACTTAAGTTACAATGAACCTAGAAAATACCCCCATTCCCACTTCTAGTCAATAAGTTCGAAATGGTCCGAGTGCATACTCAGAGAGGATCCTTGTGACTGAAGGTTCTATTTCTGACATTTCGGGGAACGTAACCTGGTCCGGGTGGTGGTTTCTTCCACGCGCGAGAGAAAATAGACACTTGTCGTACTTCGGAAACAAAGAGCAGGAAAGGAAAAGATCCTTGTGAGACCGACGTTTTGCAATAAATTTCACAAAAAAGTAAGGGCTAAGAAGAAAGTGTGCGTAAAAGATGTTAGTCGTGCCTTGCTCAAAGAGCCCAGCTAGCCACCGTTCTCCTCCCGCTAGCTTCCCAATCC